CTGTATGTACAGACGTCAAAATAAAATCAGTTCAAAGCATATTAATAGTTACGTTGTAACGCTGTAAAACGAAATTTCAAACATTTTGAAAAACAAAAAAAATTACGGATACCAGTTTTTTTATTATTATTATTTTGAGATAAAACGTATTTTGTAATACACTGCACAACACAAGAAATCGTAAAAGTAGATTTCGAATAACAGTAAGATAATTAGAAAACTTAAAATATTCATTGTTTTACCTGCATCTTTACAAAGCGAGTCAAAACGAAACCAAAACCTTAATATAACTGAACAAACAAACTGTTGAAACAAAACGTCTGAGTTCATATTACCTGCAAGATAAAAGCTCTTCGTTAATTTTCCTATTTTCAGTAAATATGTAGTCATCTTTCATAGTACATACATTCATCTTCCAAAAGTCCAAACCATCAACCAAATAAAGCCGCATATCTCGAAATACGGTATATTGTATTACAAATCAGTGTAATATCAAGTATCTTACTGTAATTGTTCTGTTAACGACAACATCCGTTTTTCTGCTCCAAACCAATGAGCACATGTGCTTTAGGTATCAATTACATGAAAACAGACGTGTTTTATAGCACGCTTTCAGCGCTTAACCGAGCTCATCAGCACCTTTCGGTTTTGGCTGTTGACACAGCTGTTTCGAGAAGTCTAATAACATGGTTAACAAACGTCCGATATTCTTAAAAACACTTTCAAATGTAATTTCGAAAAAAATATATAAAAGAGTTTCTGTTATAGATTAGTAACCAGTCGTGATGTGAGCAACAATTAATAACTATAAAATCAGAATGCGAACAATGCTTGATCACTAATCGAATTGTGACAAGAAACTGATCAATACTTGAAGTGGGATCAACAACTTACTATTAGAGTTTGACTAAAAAAAAGTGCAACAAGTGACCAATAGTTACCTACAATTGAAGTGTGTTTATATATAAGTGTGTTTGTGTGTGTGGATTTCTTAATTCGAAATACCGGATTTTCCAAACATTTAGTAAACACTTATCAAACATGCCATTTTCTCGTGATACTTAATAATCTGATTCATTACATTCGACTACCAAGTTGTTAATTCACTATACACCAGCGAGATTAATTAAAAGAGCGATTATGAATTATCAAGTAGATGGCACGTGTTTCTCCTCTAAATACACGCACTCACTTCACACTGCATTGTAAACAGAACGAAGTGTTAAAGCAAATTCATCATTACCAATTTCATATTCAAGTCTTCTTAAAATCCTGTTCTCTAATAATTAATAAGCAGGCGGTATTCGCCAGATCTCTATTTCCGGAGATATCAGGAGCTTTAACAGCCAATCCAGTTCCTAAATAAACACGTGTCGTTGTCTGTCCAGTTAAGATAGTTTTCCCAGGTCAATTTCATACGATTTTACCGTCTCTCTCGGTGGTATTGTCTAAAAAGATGCCTCACCCTTTTCATATTTTGTATTTATTAGTGGTTTCCATCTCCACTTTTAATTCAGTATTGTTTGGTCAAAACCAATATCAATTGCCTTTAAGCTAATTCTGATATCCGAACGCTTTAGACTAATTATTATTATTATTTATGTCTAGGTGGATGACAATGCTATTTGCAAGACAGACACGCTGTATCGTAAATCATTGGTCTTTTAAACTGTGGCAATGTGTTATCAGGGAACGCAAAAACTCGACTGGTAAAAAATACTCTAAAAGTATTGTTGATAACAAGTATTCCCTATTCACACGCACCATAACATCAATAAAAAAAACCATTTCTTTGAAAGAGGGTTCGCGCGCATGGGACAAGAATTTCCTAAGTGGGTCGCAGAATAAAAAAAAAAGGTTCCTTGCAGTATATGAAGATTAACTTCCTGCCTCTCATACTTTTGGAGACCTAGGAGGACATTAACCAATCACATAAAACATAAAAAAAGAGAACCAATCACATAAAACATAAAAAAAGGGAACTACATATGAATAACAAGTTTTGAAACTCTTCTGTTTACCAGAAGAAATTTGAAAAATTACAAGTTATCACCAGGGGCGTCGAGAGCCAGCCCAGGCCCCGGGGTCAGTAATATCATCGGCCTCCCACTTTCATTCTGTTTATTAACTTTTGACACTTTTTCATAAAAGAAATTTAGGTGACAAATGTCCTCACGAATCCATGAGAAAGCAGTAGCCATTTTAGCTCATTAAGTAGTATGCATTTCTAGTGAGCTTTGGAATATCCCACTGCCGGGCCCCCTCAACAGACCCCCCCCCCTCTCTTCAGCCCTGGTTATTACTTACTAGCACCACCAATATAAAAGTAAAATACAAATTAAAAGGCCGGACACTTAATAAAGTAGCATGCTTATAAACCTCTCGCATCAGGTAGAAATTACGTTTACCAAAAGATGGTTATACAATTGAAGTGTTTAAGTTAACAAAACTACGTGGTTAAATGTTCGAACAGAAATTCCAAAAATGTTTTTCTGTGGCCATTAAAAAGAAATATATAATTATATGGTTGGTTGATGTTCATATGAGGGAAATTGAAAGTTAAACTACATATTGGTTTCTAGATAAAGCTAGTGAACATTACGATTATACAAAACGGGTTAAAATAATAAAATAAATAAATAAAGTAATTAGCTGCAATCAATTTTCGATATAACCTTAGTGAGATTGCCCAAATTTGTAAGTATTCACCAAATGAAAACTGGAGAGTGATTTGGTAACTGTTCATATGGAAATGGAAGACTGGTACCGTTAACGTTTAGTAACTAAAAAGTAAAACCTGACCAGTTATTAAATGTAAAAGGTGAACATTTTTGTCATTAAACTAGAGAAATATTTCTCACTTTTTTCTGCTAAAAATATAAATGATTTAGAAACCGATTACCATGCATACACTGCAAATTGTATTGTTTACTATTTGCCCCCAGTGGCACAGCGGTATGTCTGCGGACTTACAATGCTAGAAACCGGGGTTCGATACCCGTGGTGGGCAGAGCACAGATAGCCCATTGTGTAGCTTTGTGCTTAACTTCAAACAAACAAACAATTGTTTACTATTTATTACTTTAATACGACCATGATTTGATCTTTTCTACCAGTGGGAAAACAAACTGTTTACAAACTGATATAAAATAAGTCTGTTCGGTGTTCATTAGAATAAAATTGATAATGAAATTTACAATGAATCTATATACACATAATAATACTGTCTGTTGTGTGTCCATGTGACTACTTTGAAGGGTGTGGATGTCTCTTCACCAAATTTGGCATGAAGGGTTGTTGGGTCCATGCGAAGATAATACCTACAAACTTGCAGTTTCACACTTTGTGTTTTGCAGTTTTTTTGGGAGTTTTTACGTTCTGTACAATTACATATAAGGGAAGCAGCTTTTCATGTCTTAAGATAACCTTTCATTACTCATGAATTTACACAACTTCCGTCCAGGGGACGGGTACCCCACGTAGCACAACAATAAAAAAAACTGTATGATCCGATTATTGTTTACCATGAAATAAAAAAGATGATTTACGTAATATTTTCATTACTCATGAATTTACACAACTTCCGTCCAGGGGACGGGTACCCCACGTACTACAACAATTAAAAAACTGAATGATCCGGTTATTGATTACCATGAAATAAAAAAGATGATATACGTAATATTTGCAACAAGAAAACTAAGAATAGTTCGGACAATGTTTACCTAAGGGAATTAAGAATGAGTTGATAAGTTTTATCAGAATGAAATTCAGAATATTTGGTGAAGTTTATGAAATATATATATATATATAATAACAATAAATAGTTATTTGATGATCAGTTTTACTACAAGAAATCTGAGAATACTCTAAACGACGTATAACAGTTAACACTAAAAATTTGAATGCTTAGGCGATTGCTCACCAAAAACACACCGAGAACGATTTGAACTAGAAAACTGAAAATGATTTGGATGATGTTCACGAGAGGAAAACTGACAGTGAACTGTACAACGTTCATAACAAGAAAATTTAGGATTATTTAATAAGTCCTTACCAGAAAACTACTTTGGAATGACCTGCGCAGAGTTTACCAGTAGAAATGAAGGAAGACTTATTGTTTACCAGAAAAGAAAAATAGGATCCAAGAATTAATTGGTCATTGTTTACTAGAAGAATTACGAAAATATGTTTTTTTATTAAAGGCTGGCAGTTAGAATCTATTAAGCCTTTTTTTTTTTTTTTTTGCTTACTGATTGAAACCAATTAGTAAAATGATAGTTTGGTTCTTGTACCGAGAACTTATTTTTAAGAAAAGATTGGCAATCACGAAGTTTAATATAGGCGGGGTAAAATTAATCTTTTGTTAACCAGACAAAACAGCTTGTATTTGTCACTGTTATGTGTACCACTTCCGCATAAGAAGTTAGAAGGATTTGGTCACCGTTTTTCACACGTTATCATTATTTACAAAACAGAAATATAGATTGATTTAATTACGGAAAATTAAATCACATTCACTGTCTACCATATTACGATAACTCGGCATTTCTAACATCACTGGGGTTGTTGGAATGTTCTTAACGAATGAGAATCAAATACATGTTAAAAGAAGTTATGCTTAACGTTCAACTACCGAAAGTGAATACGTAAACTTGGTAGTAAAATTCGGCGTTCTTGACAAATACCTTTTAAGTCTTAGCGTTCTAAATACACTAGGGATGAAATAAAGTAATCCGTATTTAACTAAATTTACATAGTTAGAAGTTTCCGGTGTATTGCTTATAAGACTTTTAGGTTCTAACTAAATTGCACTTGTGTTATTTTTCAAAGTAATTAACATTTTCACAATTACATACTAAATATCGTTAGTTCATAAATGCATTCAAGAACTATAGAATATGAGTTAGGAAAAATTGAAGTTGATCTATAATAGCCTTAGTTTCATAGCTGACAACAAATAACAGTAATAAGAGCTATATTTAAAAAAAGGACTTTCCCACCTTTAGAAACTTTCTCTAATATTCGTTCTTTGTGATCATCAGTATAGGGTTCACTGACAACAATCAGTAAATGGCCACCAAAGTGCGAGTTATCTCCCGAATTCGTGTCCATGTTCAACGCAGTACAAACCCTAGACTAACCCAACTGCCGAATGAGACATGCGTGAGTATAAAAGGTAGAACTGCTGCAGTGGTCCGTCACGTGACCACAAGTTTTGTCGTCATAGTTCGTTCCTCTGCTGATTTGGTTGCCATAGGAACCGTCATTTTCTAGCCTCAGCCAGGTGAATCGTACTCATCCAGCCGGTTAGTGCTACTGCGACCAAAACTCAACACCCGTTCCATGATTCACATTGTAATGCCACAGCATCTTTTGTCTCGTTGAAATACCAACGTACTAAGCATGTATAAAATATGTTTGATTCGCTAGTGGTTATTTACGTCTGAGCACGTAAAGAAGGAAGAACAAAAACAGGAACAGCCCAGGTACTTGGATCTGTTAAGGTGAATAATTCGTTTTAAATATCTTGTTGACTTTTATTATTCTTGTTTAATAAAATTATTTCATACTAATACTGCGTAGGTTCATCATTCTAGTCGTATTGGCTCAGTTTCGGTCTCAAGTCTAAGTCTCAAATGTACCATTACGTGACTTGCCCACGTGCCATGTGGAGCATGGTATCTTTTTCCAAGCACACTCCTTCAGGGATTCGTCCGGCCATCGACTCAAAAATAAGCTGACCGTGTCCTTAGACGTGACTGTGATAATCTAAAAACTGTTCATCCAAGTGTAGATGTGAGAATTCCGGCTTTTTAAAATCTTTATAAAAATAATATAACTCCTTTTGCACTCCAACTCTTTGTCATTCCGCACAGGGGCTGATCCAGGGTGGCAATCCACCCCTTTTCTTGATTAAGTACAAAGAAAGAGCAACAAAAGGTAATGATAACTAAAAATAGAGGATATGACTCAGACTCCATCAAGTGACCTCCCCTAAATATAATCACGAATCAGCCCCTGTCATATTTTAGCATAAATGAAATTGGAGAACGCCCCTCAAAGGCTTAATCGATCGCAAAAGAGTTATTTAATCGAATTGTAATTGAAGTAAACAAATTACTTTTGCACAAAAACTGAAACTCAGTTTATTAAGAAAGAAGGCGAACGAGGATCGTTGGGAAATGGTTATGTTTACAAGTTTGGTACAAAAAATATATATCTATTGAAAATCAGTTAAGATCAAATGCACTTCTCCAATTTCCGTTTTTTAGATCTTAGAGCTCAAATATTAGAGATTTAAACCAACATAATTAGTTTACTAAGTTCATCGTGAATGGGCAAATTAATAATATATATTAAAAAAAAATTCTGAATGTCTGGTTCTTTGCACTTTAGTTTATGGCAAACCAAGCATAAAATAATTTGAATCATGTTCATCTTCATACATGAAACTTTTAACATGGATTATGTTTTAGTGCGGAGGGGTAAAGTTAGTAATGTTGTGAAAATACGTAGTATAAATATCAAGAAAGCAAACTGTTGGTTTTGGTAAAAGAAAATATGTTCGTAAGTTGTATACAAAAAAATGATCTGCTAACGTGCCACTAGAGGGAGAAACATAACAACACTTGTATTATTCGCGCAGTTTTTGAAATACGCTGTTCGTTTTAGTTAGGGAAACATGGTCGATAATTCTTTTTTTTTTTTTTACGTTGATGTGTGCTTGAACTATGAGAAGCCGTAAACCAAAACTTACATCAATTCAAATGAATGATTAGCAAAGAGTGCATACCTTTATGAGTACTTATGATTTTTATTAGTTCATTTATAAGTTAAATACATCTACAATTAAGTAGTGCACAAGAAGAATGCCTTTTCTTTGATTTTATTTTACGATGTACCATTTTTTGATACAAAAATACATTCGACCAGGGCCCCAGCAAGGGCCAAGTGGTTAGGGTGCTTGACTCGCAATCTGAGGGTTGCGGGTTTGAAACTCCGTCCCACCAAACACGCTCGCCCTTTCAGCCGTGTTATAATGTGATGGTTAATCCCACTATTCGTTGGTAGCCCAAGAGTTGGCGGTTGTTGGTGATGACCAGCTGCTTTCCCTCTAGTCTTTCACTGCTAAATTAGAGTCGGCTAGCGCAGATAGCCCTCGTGTAGCTTTGCAAGATATTCAAAACAAAACCAAATCGCTGTTAATGATCGTAATATTGGTACATTTAATTTTTAGTATAAAAGTGACAGCATTATTAACTGGGTAAGAAAACGTCGCAAATTTCATACATATATCATGTTATAAAGGCGGGTACCTCAGGGATCTCAGTTTTAGTCTCATTTTGATTTACATCAACGACATAGATGAAGGAATGGTCAATAAGTTATTTAAATTTCCTGATAAAAGCTGATAAAGTTTTGGGTATTGCTAGCTGTGAGGAGGATGCTACTGCCTTGCAAGAATATTTGGATTATTTGGTGAACTGAGCGAATAAATGACAGATGACTTTTGATTATAATAAATGCAAGGTAATGTATGTAGGATATCACAACTTGAATTATGAGTATACTTTTGATGGTATTAACCTTAACAATGATGTGGAAGAAAAACTCTTCTGGTTGATCAGCCTCTTAAGCTATCCAAGCAATATGCTGTTGTTAGAGGCATGACAGACAGGGTTTTAGGTTGTATCTACAGTAATATTGAATACGAGTCTAAAGAGGTTATAATGTCACTGTGTAGGTCATTGGTTAGGCCACATTTGGAGTATTTTGTTCAGTTTTGGGCTCCTTACCTCAGAAAGAACATTGATTTGTTGGAAAGGGTTAAAAGTAGGGCTACTAGGATGATACCTAAGGTGGAAATGTTATCATATGAGGATAGGTTAAGATCTCTGAACTTGTTTTCTCTTGACAAAAGAAGAGTTAGAAGTGATCTAATTGAGGTATTTAAGATTGTTAAAGGAATTGACAATGTTGATGCATCATATTTTTTCATACTTAATGGTGAGAATGTTAAGACTAGGGAACACAAGTATAAATTTTAGTAGGGAAGAAGTCATCCAAGCTTAGTTCTAAAGTAATTGAATCAGCCTGAGTGCACTTTGACAAAAGGAACAGAGGATATTTTGAAGAAAGAAGACCAAATGATTACTGGAAGAGTAGTATACGGCTGCGGTAACTCGCACTACAATTGTAAGTGAATCACACACATAGAATACTAAAGCGACAGTAATAGAGAAGATAGTTCGGCTTGTCAACTGAAATTCTAAATCAATTGAAAAGGCCTAAGTGGACTTTT